GTTCTACCCACAGCAAACTTGCCTGGGAAGTGTAAAATGAATTGTGGAACAGAAAAATGACTAAGAATTCTAAGTGACTCCAATAAACTCAGCTGGACTCAATACAATCTCCTGACTAAGGAACAGCAGAAGCATTTGCTTTAACCAACTATGTAAGGACTTACAATTCATCCTGCCAGATCCAATGAACAAATCTCAATCCTCAGTGGATATAACCACAGCGAACTTCTTTGCAGCAAATAAAAACACATTGTCCCTGTCAGAAAGCCATTTGGTGACGCTGTCAACAGTGCAAAGGTTTTTCTTGTTTTCTTTTAAAATCTGTCCTGGAAATAAATCCCCCCCGAATTTCCCATCACTAGTAGTTTTATGCTACAACAAACCTAAGAAAAAGAGCTACAGTTGGCCTATGTTGTTTCCATGCCTTTTCTGAAAATGCAGTTTACTATAAATACTCTTTTCCAACATAAAAAAAATTCACACACATTTCTATTACTATATCAGTTGAAAATAGCAAAGAAAAGAAGAAAATGATATACCTTATCCCCAAATCCTGAATTCAGAAGACAGAAAATAAAATAAAACATGTCTCATGAACTCCCAAAGATTAAGAAAATTAATTTACTATTTTGACACAGAGTTGAGTATGTAGCCTAGGTAGTCTTTAAGCTTATGGTCCTATTTATGGTCCTCCTATTACTACTGCCTGGTGTGCACATTATGCCCTTCCTTCCTTCCTTCCTTCCTTCCTTCCTTCCTTCCTTCCTTCCTTCCTTCCTTCCTTCCTTCCTTCCTTCCTCCCTCCCTCCCTCCCTCTCTCCCTCCCTCCCTCCTCCCTAGGGTCTTCCTCTACAGCTCAGGGTGACTTCAAAAGTCTGATTCTCCTGCCCTATCCTCCTGAGTACTGGGATTACAGATATGTGCTACTGTTTGTCAAAAGGAAAATGATAATACTAAGTTATAGTAGAAAGCTAAAAGTAAAAAATTTCAGTACAGTGGCACAATAATGTTAAATCTCTTTAAGTAAAATTAGGAAACATTTTCTCTCTATGTATGTAGTTACTTCTTCCGAGGTTGAAACCCACATCTCTAGCCTCTACATTCTATCTGGTTGACAATGACATACATATTTATATATTAAGCAAATATCATATCTTATGTTATGTTTTCTGACCAGCATCAAAGCCACTGGCTTATGGAACTGTCCTTTCATCTAGCTTTCCAAAATAAGTTGTACTTGTAAGACAGAATGTATCAGGCTTTAATCTAATTAATTACATACATGCCTATTGTGCCAAGAGGATTCTGTGTTGCCTGAAAGCCCAGGCTCTGTCTGATTCATTTTTGCATCTACCACTTCATCTGACATAATCCTGGCAAGAATAACCTTGATTTTCAGTAAAGATGGTAGGCTAGTGAAGTGGATTTCATTATGAAATTAGTATGCAATAATAAGTCAGAAATTGTAAAAGCCCCACATTTATAAACAACCATGGATGGTTGTGAAAGAAATTACTTGGCATTTAATTGAAAAATGACATGCCCAGCAAATCTCATGTCACATAACTTATTATATTTGGTGACAGAAAAATAAACAGAATCATAAAAATCAGACACTTTTTTTTGCTAAGAATACTATTTTCCCAGACATAAGAACACTTAGATAGGGGCTGGGAAGGTGGCTCAGTGGTAGAGTGCTTGCCTTGCATGCCTGAGGCCCTGGGTTCAATTACTCAGCACCACATAAGCAAAAAGAAAAAAGCCGGAAGTGGCGCTGTGGCTCAAGTGGTAGAGCGCTAGCCTTGAGCTGAAGAGCTGAGGGACAGCGCCCAGGCCAGAGTTCAGGCCCCATGACCGGACCCAAAAAAAAAAAAAAAGAACATTTAGATGAATGAATAAAATGAGAACAAGGGCATTGTATAGGTCTCATGTACACTTGTATTACTCCTTTTCTTTCCTTTCTTTTCCTTTTTTTTTGTTGGTCATGGGACTCGGGTGCTGTCCTTGAGCTCTTTAGCTCAAGGCAAGTACTCTATCACATAAGCCACACGCCACTTCCTACCACTTTTCTTTACTAATTTCTGATTTTGATTTAAACAATTTTATTTATTTCTAATATACTTTTTATTATCTTTAAGTAGTTGTGCAGAGGAGAGTTGCTACCCCAAAGCAGTTTATGCATATAATGCTTTTTTTTTTTTTTTTTGGTCCATCCTGGGGCTTGAACCCCAGACCTTAGTGCTGTCCCTGAGCTCTCTTTTGCTCAAGGCTAGTGCTCTACCACTTTTTTTTTTTTGTCAGTCGTGGGGCTTGAACTCTGGGCTTGGACACCATCCCCGCACTCTTCAGCTCAAGGCCAGTGCTCTACCGCTTGAGCCACATCGCCACTTCTGGTTTTCTAGTGGTTTACTGGAGATAAGAGTCTCACGGAATTTCCTGCCTGGGCTGGCTTTGAACCACGATCCTCAGATCTCAGCCTCCTGAGTAGCTAGGATTACAGGCATGAGCCACTGGCGCCTGACTTGCTCTACCACTTTAAACCACAGTTCCACTTCTGGTTTTTGAATGGTTGATTGGAGGTAAGACTCTCATGAGGACTTTTCTGCCCAGGCTGGCTTCAAACCTCAATCGTTGGACCTCAGCCTCCTGTGTAGCTAGGATTATAGGTGTGAGCCGCTTGCAACAATGCATTTTTAAAGCAAAATCATTTTTATATTTTTGGTGGTGCTGGGGTTTTGATTCATGGCCTTATGCTTGCTAGCAAGTGCTCTACCATTGGAGCCATACCTCTAGTACTAGCAAAGTGATTTTAAATTAAATCTTGGCTCACAATTTATTGATTAATGGTCTTGGCTAAAGAATCCAATCTCCCTGAACCTTTAATAAAGGTTACATTCAGCTATCTGTAAGGTCTAGATAAAAATAAAACATGAAATTATAGGTAGAGTGGCTATCACACGAACACATTTGACTCAGTTCTTATGTCTTCCTATCAAATTCCAGGTTTAGAGATTAAGTATCAAAGGTCTTAGAAAAGACTGGAGAGGAAGTTTCTAGGGTTATTAAATCTCTAGGAGGCTCCAGGGGTCTTATTTTCTAGCCATGTCAATGGAGGTACAAACTTATATAACAGTCTAGCAAGGTAGCATGGAAACAAAACAGAGCCCTGACAGGAAGCAAAGCAGGCAAGAGGTGTGAGGGTGACATGCTTTATTTCCCTTTATTAGCTGGACAGCAAGCAGGTCATTGCCTCAGGACTAGAGTGGAATGCCTAAGAACTTTGGCTTTTCCAACAGGGAAAATGAAGCCCAGAGGCAAAATAATTTTTCTGAGGTTCCACTTGTGGTAGGAAGGGGTCTGAGAAAGGAGTCCAGCTTTCCCATGACCCATTGGTCTTCCTTCTAGGCCAATCCTTCTTTGTTTAGATCAAAAGAAGGTATTAGTAAAATTAGGACATTAAGTTCCTAATCCTTTCATCAATTACCAACTTCCTCACTAATCTTTCAAGGGATACAGGGGAGAGAACATGCATAGAAAGCGTGTGTTCTTTACTTCTACCGAAGGTTCCCCTCCCCCCCTTCCATTCTTGTTTCCATTTTTGCCCCAGTGCGCAGCACTGAATTCTATGTGTTAAGGGTGCTCTCCCTTTTGCCCAATGCTACAATGACATTCACGCCACAGGGTCTGTTTCCAGTGGATTTCTTGCTACAGGTCTCCTCAGATCAGATCCTGCTTGGCCTTCAAAGGGCATGTGGTATTACAGCAGGAGGCAGCCTCACATGTATGTAATCATTTAGCCTCCCAAAAAGAGAAAGCCCAGAGATCAATAACTACTAAGAGTAATTAATGTTGGTGTGTGTGTGTATGTGTGTGTGTGTGAGAGAGAGAGAGAGAGAGAGAGAGAGAGTGTGTGTGTGTGTGTGTGTGTGTGTGTGTGTGTGTGTTGGTACTAAGGCTTTAATTCAAGGCATCATGCTCTTGCTCATCTTTCTTGATCACAGCTGCTACTATACTACTTGAACCATTCCTCCAGTCTGGCATTTTGCTAGTTAATAATAGACAGAGTCTTGAGGACTTGTTTGCCTAGACTGGCTTCAAGTTGTGATACTGATATATTGTCTCTTGATTAGCTAGGATTACAGGCATGATCCACCAGTACTCAGATCTAGATTCTTTATAACAATTTTTCTTCATTCACTAAAAGACACATCTTTTACTAAGGCAATGATGTCAAAACTTCATTCTGTACGGAAGAGAGAAGGTAGGGACAGGGGAAAGATTTGTATTTGTTTTATACGTTATAATGCCCTTTTTAGTGAGAACAATTTAGTTATTCTATATTAAGAAAGGACTCTGATAACTCTTTTCTAATAGAAAAAAAACAAGCTTATGTTAAAACAGTTATGATATTAGCTAAGCATGGGCATGCATGCCTGGTAATCTCATCTACTGGGAAGGCTGAGGTGGGAGGACCCTGCTGTCTCAAAACGTAACATTATGGGGAAATTGTTTTTCTTATCTGCTTCTTTTAAAATGTGCATGGGAAGAAACAGGCCAAAGAGTTGTATAAGCAATTTTCCTTTCTGGTGTGTGTATAAAAAATACGTACAAATGAATTTAGTATCTGTGAACGTATTCTACTCATGAAAACCCATGTGATTCTGCCTCAATAAAGCCATTTCCAAATCCACTGATGGCGATTAGCACAGCTAACTGCCAGGTAATAGGCGGGGCTCTGTGAGTTCTGCCTGGAATGAGGGAGCCCAGCTCTCCAAGAGCTCTTGGCCTAGAGGAGGAGACACATCTTATAATTCAGGAATCCACATGCTCTCAGTTAATTCCAAAGAAAACAAACTTTCATGTATGGTCGTAATTTCTGTCTTTAATTCTAGGAAATAAGTCATTTTGTGATTAGAGGGTCATGACACTAAATGTTAACAATAAAAACTATTTTATTATAACACAGACATTACTGTCCTCTTCAGCATGGCTTATCTTACCTTGATCTTTTGGTGGTACTGATAATGAATTCTGCATTATGATGTACTTGACTTGAATAGTAACGTTCCTAAAAATAACCAAGCAGAAGCAACAGTTAAAAAATAAGGCATTATGTTACATACATACTAAATGTTAAAAGCTCTTTTAAAAGCCTATTTATAACTCCACAAGTAATAAATAATAATTGATGTTCTTATTGCCTTTTTCTTTCTTTTCTTTTCTTTTTTTTTTTGCCGGTAGTGGGGTTTGAACACAGGGTGTTGTGTTCACTCAGCTTGCTTGCTAATGTCTTAGTGCTAGAACCCTACCACTAGCTTAGCTTTTTTACTAGTTATTATGCATATGAGTCTGGCAGACTCTTCTGCCAAGGCTGGCTTCAAACTACAGTCTCCTATGTCTCAGCCTCCTGAGTAGCTAGGACTACAAGCGTGAGCTACCAGTGCCTGTTTTCTCATCTTTCGACTGACAGTTTTTATTTTACATTATGTACTAGACTTGGAGAGGGACACAAGGACATCCCTCTAGTAGAATCACATCTAAGTAAACATTACCTGAAAATCAGCTGTCTAATATTTTTCACTTACTCTGTTTAAGAAGAAATAACTAAAATATTTAACATGTGGGTGAGGGTAATATAATTGCAACATTTTCATTTGATGAAAATGTTTCATTTGATAACTCAGTCATTGAAATGTGATTAGAAAGACTGTGTAGCAACATGAGAAACGTTGATGATTCAATTTAATGGAGATGCATACTAAATGATATACACTAATACTACAACTATAGGAAAAACAAAGGCAGTAAGAAACATATGGCAGAAAATATGTTACACTGTGCTTGATTACAGAATTGTAGGCTCTTTTCTCTCATTTTAGCCTTTTTATAAATTGCTCCACTAGGGATTGGTTCTAGGGCTCCCTTTGCATACCCGAACTCCAAGTTTCTCAAGTCCCCTATATAAAATAGTGCAATGTTTACATGCAACCAATATGTATCTTCCTGTATACTTTAAAAGATTTCTAGGTTGCTTATAGTACAGGTTAAAATATAATATTATATAAATAATTGCTAAACTGCATTGTTTGGGATATGATGACAAGAAAATAATCTGTACATGTTCAATGTAGGTACAATATTTTAAAAGCATATTTCTGATCCACAGTTGGTAAAATCTGAGGATATAAAACAACAGATTAGAAGGGATGACTGTATCTAAATATAAAAATATGGCAACAAAAGTCTTTGAAAAATACAGTATTTTTATAGGCTTTCAAATAAGAACTGTTTCTAAGCAAAACAGTAACAACAGAAGCCATTAAAGACTGATGAATTAAAACGTTGAGTGTTTTCAAAAAAAGAAAATTAGGCACCAGAAAAAGGTATGACTTTCACTTCTAGCCAAGACACTAAGAGACCAGATTGGTCCTTCTGCCTGAAAAAAAACAGTAGAGGTAAACCTGTACGAAACCATGTTTCAAATACTGGACATAAGTGTTTGAAAAACTAATGCTGGAGAGATTGGAAGCAATTGAGATGAGCCCCAGAGCTATATAATAGGGAAGAAACACCTTGGTGGAGATTCCCATTGTACTAGACCTAAGAAGGCTGCTCTTGACTGGTGGCTATTGCCTATATTCCAAGCCAGAGTCTGGGCAGGAGAATCTGTAAGACACTTATTTCCCATTAACAACCAAAAAGCCAGAAATGGACGTATAGCGCAAGTGATAGAGTGCTAGCCTTGAGCACAAAAGGTTATGGACAGCACCCAGGGCCTGAGTTCAAGCCCCAAGACAAGCACCAAAAACAAAACAAAACAAAACAAAACAGGCTGCTCTTGAAAGGGTCCTCATTGTGAACTCTCCAAACAAATATGGAAACTTCCTCAGGCCAAGGAGATGTCCAAAGTACTCTGCTTTCAAGAGGGAAACACTACCTGTTCCTATAGCCAGTTGGGACGGACTAGTAATTCCCAGAAACGCTCTTGACTGTGGGGGTGGAGGTGGGGAATAATTAACCCCAGGCTGAGAAATTTTCTGGTTTCACAGGGAAAATCTTCACTTGATCTTAGCCGAAAGGCCAAGAAGCAATTCACAGGGCAAATCTTAAATGAAGACATGAATGGATCAACTATTTCCAGAATAATGCTCAGGTATACCTGGAGAAACACAAAAATATCTACCACCCAATGAAGTAAAATTCATAATGCTTGGCATCTATTAAAAATTATCAAGCATTCAAAGAAGCTAGAAAACATGATCCATAATGTAGAAAATAGTCAAAATTGATTCAGGACAGACAGATGCAGCTAAGAATACTAAGTATAAGCCGGGCGCTGGTGGCTCACGCCTGTAATCCTAGCTACTCAGGAGGCTGAGATCTGAGGATCGCGGTTCAAAGCCAGCCCAGGCAGGAGAGACCGTGAGATTCCTATCTCCAATAAACCACCAGAAAACCGGAAGTGGCGCTGTGGCTCAAGTGGTAGAGTGCTAGCCTTGAGCTGAAGAGTTGAGGGACAGTGCCCAGGCCCAGAGTTCAAGCCCCACAACCGACAAAAAAAAAAAAAAAGAATACTAAGTATACAATTATACCTCATATGTCTTAAAAAGCTAAATAAAAGCCAAAATGATTTTTTTAAAAAAGACCCATATGAAAAATTTCAAAGATGAAAACTACATTGTATAAGATAAAACAGATGGGATTATTAGACTACTTAAAAACTTACAAGATATATGGACATTTGACTATTCACTTGCAGATACTATTATTTGAGATGCTATTATGCATTTTGGAAAGGATATACTAAATATAGATTTAAAAATTTTTTTTTTGGAATTGGGGTTTTAATTTAGGGCCTCACACTTGCTAGGCAGATACTTTTATGTGTTCTGGTTATTTTGGGGCTAGGGTCTCACTTCCAGGCATATGCCTGAACTTCAATCCATCTACCTATTTCAGACTTCCCAGTGTAGATGGGATGAGAGGAACATGCCACTACATCCAGCCTCTTCTGCTGAGATGAAGTCTCAGGACTATTCTAATATTCTCCATCTCAGAGTCCCACATAGCTTTATAGGTACACATCACTGCCCAGTTATGGATTGAGAAGGTTTCTTGAAAACATGTCTGTCCAGGATGGCCTTCAACCTTAATGTTCCTGTTTGTAATCTTCCAAGGAGCTTAGTTGTGAACCACTGACACCAGGCTATACATCAACCTTGTGCTCCTGTCTGATATAAAATAAATAAACAAAGAAAACATCCTACTATAAAAACTAGTTGACTCCAAATTTTATGAAAGGCATTAAGTTAGCAATTGATACAAAGAATGTTGAGGTTGACAAAAATCAAAGAAATGCAAATTACTAAAATGAAATTACCTTTACTGGCATATAAATTGTTAAAAAAAAACTAAGAGTCTGAGGAAAGGGGCATGCCCACTCACTCTGTACAGCAGAGTAGGTACAGCTGAGGAGGTATGTAGTCACGTGTGCCTTAATGTCTGCAATTATTTTGGCCCAGACCTTCCTTCCACTTCTAGGAATTTATCTTAAAAAAAAAAAACTGGGGTAATATGTAACATTACAAATCAACATGATTATCACTATCCTAGTTACCTTTAAAAGAACTTTCAGGATGTTATTTTAAAAAGTTGCAAAACTCTGAAGTAAATTAGTACATTTTTATAATGAAGTTATTTTAGAGATCTTAAAAAATTATTAATGCTTATGATGCACATGGTTTGTATGAAAAGTGCTGCAGTTTGAATATGAAATATTCCTCCAACAGGCTTGCATATAAAAGCCTAGGCTCCCAGCTGGTGGCACTATTTTAGGAGCTTCTAGAAACTAGGAGGAAGGACCTAGCTGGAGGAAGTAAGTAGGTCACTGGCAACAGGTCAGGTGGTTGGGGGTTATCTTGTCCCTGGCTCCTTCTTATCTCTTTCTCTGCTTCCTCTGCCATTAAGGGAATGGCTGTCCTCAGTTATATCCTCTGAAGGTGACTGTCCAGGTTATGATTTTCTCTCCAGGTGCTTGAAGCCAAGGGGTCATGGATTGAACCCTGTGAAATCCTGAGCTTTAAAAATCCAAATAAATCCTTCCTCCCTTAAATTGTTCCTATTAGGTATTTAGTTACAGCTGTATTTTCTCCTATTTAGCAGTTTGTTTCATGGCTCTGAATGACTGTTTCCTTGCTGTGCAAAGCATTTCAGTTTGATGTAATCTGATTTATTTTTGCTTTTGTTTCCTGTGTGTTCGGGTTCTTGTCCAAAACCCCTTGCCCATTCCAATTTCCTGAAATACTTCCTGTTTTCTTCTAGTAATTTCATTATTTTAGGTCTTATATTTAAGTCTTTACGTTCATTTTGAGTTGATTTTTGTGACTTGTAAGAGATAGGGGTCTAGTTTCATTCTTTTGCTGTAGATATTCAATTTTCCAATATCACATATTGAAAATTTTCCTTTTCCCGATGTGTGCTGTGATCACCTATGTTGAAAATCAGTTGGCTGTAGATGAACAGGGTTATTTCTTGGCATGCAATTTGTTTCCACTGGTCTCTTATACATGCCTGTATAATACTATAGTCTTAAAAAGTATATTTTGAAGTCATGTAGTACAATATTTCCAAGTATATGCTGGAAGATTATGTTCTTTATCTTCAAATTCTTTATTGGCTACTCAAGGTCAAGATAATTTTAACTATACTCCCTGTATTTTGGTATCTAAATTAGAAAGCTCAAAGTCATAGTGGCTTTTGTTACCATGAAAGGCAGCGCTGTATTTAATTTTATTATAATTATGGAAAATTAATATATTGTGTTATTGATGTACCTATCACTTAATAAAGAAACCAATGAATAATCACAATGTTGAAAATGACAGATTGCATAATGCATTGTAAATATAATAGAGGAAAAGATGTGGTAAATAGCTATATAAATTATAAGTATTTTTCAAACAACACACAAGGAAAGTCAGTGTGCACTTTTACTCCAGGGAGTAAGCACTGTGTCCTGGGAAGTATATAAGAATCTGTGAAAATTATGATCTGACCTTTCTTAAATTGCTGAAAAGCATATTAAGCAGAACAATCTATCAAAAAGGAACAAAAATTAAAGAATGCAAACAGCAAATATCATCAATTATGGCAAGATCTAGTAAAAGGAGCTTTATAAATCACTCATATGATTGCTTTTAATTTTAGTTAATATATCATATTTAAGCAGGTTCATTAAAAATGAAAATTAGGTGAATCTGTTACTTAAGAAAGTGACAGCTGGAAATAGAAATTTCCCCATTTCCTCTTTATTGAGGAGCCTGAGGCAAACACTGCCTTGTCTTTGTTATGCTGCTTTGCCAAGGTTCCTAAAACTAAATTTCAATCTACAACCTTAGAGAAAAAAGATAATCACTTCCAAGTTCAAAAAGCTTCCAGACATCAGATCATGTACAGTCGTGTGGTGAGTGCTTGTTCTCTGTGTCTGCATGAACACTGATCACAGAATTGCAATGCAGCTGTCAATCTAGAAAACTATTTTCAGGAAACTATTTCCTGGGAATAGATATGTCTTACATCACCAGATAGCCATGAACACTCAGATAAACGCCATAATAACATAACAACATTGGCCACAAAAACTTGTAATGCAAAACTAGCAAAAACAGCAATGATTCTTTCAGTGTCTTATAATGGGCAATTTAGCATGCTCTTTTTGGTACATTGAAATAACGCTATTGTTATCCTGCTCTGATTGGGTAGTTACTGCGGTGCGAGGCTTTCTTCCAGTTTTGATTCTACCATGATTTTGTGTCCGTTGATTTGAAAGCATAACATGGTGATAGTCCCACAAGATTTCAGGTGTGAGGTCAGAATTGGTCAGTGAATTCATAGATCATAGCTTTTTCTAGACTGGATATCATACATCCCTTTGGCAAAACGGTACTAGTTTGGTAGTAGTATTCTATCAGGTAAGTGTGACACATCGTTTAACCATTAACTGATAGACATCTGAGTTGTTGCCATCTATGGGTTATCATGAATAAATATGTGTCTAGTTGTGTAGATAGGTGTTTTCATATGTCTTGGGTAAAACTTAAGCGGAAATTTGGGGTGGTAATTGTCTGTTCTCCAAAGAAGTTGTGTTCATGGATTTTTTTTCAAGCCCCAGAATCAGCACACACATATACAAAAAAAGCATCTCGGCCTACTTTCATCCATTTGCCAAATGTTTAGTGGCCCTTTCTATCTGGAAACCTATGTGTTTCAGTTCCTGGGAGATTTCCTGTTTTCTGAGATGTTCTCTGTCAACAACTGTTAATCAGATGTTATCTTCCCTAGATAGTTATAACTTTTTTCCTCTCTTTCCTATGTTGTATTGATCTGATGTTGCCATTCAGAAAAAAAATTCTTAATTTTCCAACATTTTAACTTTACTTCCTAGTTATATATTTAATATTGTTCCATAATTAAAACTGACAGATAACTAAATATAAATTTCCTATAATTAATACAATTGTCTGGTGTTTTTGGACTGTACCAATCCTGACATGATTTAAATGTTATTTTATGTAAATGTAAAAGAAGTCCTCATGTTGTTGGGAGAGGTAATGATGTTTGCAATCCTACCACCCCACCCAAGAGGCTGAGACAGGAGGTTCCAGAGGCCAGGTCAGGCTATATACACATTGAGACCCTGTCTCAAACAAACAAACAAACAAACCAAAGTCCTCACTACTTCAATTTTTCTGGTATCGAGTTAGAGAGATTTTCAGATATAATACCATTGTTTAAAGTTCCATTACTCACAGATATAAGTCCTAAGAAACAAAAATTTCCAACATCATCTATCTATGTAGTATGTTAATAAGGCTGCTTTTTCTATAAATATAATACATTTCATCCTTGATGACTTTAAACTATCCTTCCATTTCTTATGTGTTTGAATATCTAAGACAGATGTTAGAAATACTTGGATCTTTTTTGTTTGTTTGATGATGGTTCTGGACTTGAACTCAGGACCTAAGTTCTGTCTCTAGGCTTTTCTGCTGAAGGCTAGTGCTCTACCATTTGAGCCACAGATCTAGTTCTGGCTTTCTGGTGGTTAACTGGAGACAAAATTCTCAGGGGCTTTCCTCCCTGAGCAGGCTTTGAATCAAGATCCTTAGATCTCAGCTTCCTAAGTAGCTAGGATTACTATCTTGAGCCATTGGTGCCTAGCTTTTTGATTTAGGTCTTTTTATATCAAACAGAACATGCTTGGACTTTCTAGTCTGGCTTCCAATTCTAACAGAATGAGAAGTCCTTCAGGCCAACAAGGTTACCACTGATGAAGAAGAAAACATTTCACAAAGGAATAGATAATATCATCTGGTAATAAAGAACACTAAGCAGTGAAATAAATACCACAGGAGAAGGAGGTTGTCATTTGCCAAGGATATCTGTTATGAAACAGTTCATTATCTTGTTCCTGTCAATCAGTTTAGCTGGTTGAATGGATTTAATTTATTATTTTAGACATGATCACATTTCCACTACTTTAGCTCTTCTCTTATCTGCACAGGGACAAAATCGTCTTTAAACTAAGCGGGTTTACAGAAAGTTGATGTAATTTTTGTAAGAGCATTTCAAATTCCTCACATCCCCTTTCTCTCTTCTCCTTCACCTGCTGGTTACCTCTCTGTGCACCACCTGCTGGGCTATCAACACATTCCATTTCTGCCCCTCACCTCCCTTCCATTCAGACTCTCACTGTGGCCAGTTTAGCACATTGATCTCTCAGTTGCCATGTCTAGTTTTTTCCTTTTCTACAAATTTCAGCATTAAATTTAAATCTCATCAATTATCTTTATAATATGTAATTAACGAACAAACCTTCACTGCTCTGCTTCATTTCCCTCTAACTTCAACCATGCTTTATAGCTTTTCTCATATTCTTGTGGAGTATATGAACTGGTGAGAGTGCATGCATGTGTGGTGTGTGTGTGTGTGTGTGTGTGTGTGTGTGTGTCTGTCTGTCTGTCTGTGTGTGTGTGTGTGTGTGTGTGTGTGTGTGTGTGTGTGTGTACTTAGTGGTACTGGTTTGAGTCAGCGCCTCCTGCTTGCTAAGCAAGGACTTTGCCACTTGAGCTATTCTATCAATCTCCCCCACCTCCGGCTTTTTTGGGGGGGGAGGAGTCTTGGGGCTTGAACAAAAGGTCTGGGCATTGTCCCTGAGCTTCTTTTGCTCAAGGCCAGAACTCTACTACTTGAGTCACAGCTTATACTTTATTAGAGATAGGAGTCTCACAAATCTTCCTGTCCCGGCTGGCTTCAAACTGTAATCTTCAGATTTCAGTCTCCTGAGTAGCTACGAATACAGGGTTTGAGCCACTGGCGCCTAGCTGAACTGGTTATTTTTGAGAGAGGTTATCATGTCTAGGCCAGCCTGGACTATAAACCTCCAATTTGTATAATGTGCAATTGTATACATGTAACTTTGTACAAAATTTCTGTAGGATAAATTCACAACCAGAAATTTCTGGGTTGGTTTAAAATTTTTATAGATATTGGTAAATTATTACTCAAAGCCCTTTCTTTTCTTTTCTTTTCTTCTTTCTTTTTTTTTTCCCGGTCAGTGGTGGAGCTTGAATTCGGGGCCTGGGCATTGTCCCTGAGCTCTTCTGCTCAAGGCTAATGCTCTACCACTTTGAGCCATAGCACTACTTCATAGCCTTTCCTGCCTGGGGCTAGTTTTGAATCATGTTCCTCAGATCTCAGCCCCCATACGCATGAGCCACCTGTGCCTGGCTTCAAAGTATTTTTATGAATTTACCCAACATATGAAAATGACTTAAAAACTATTTGTGAAAACTGCTATAGATTTTCTTCAACTGAATGTGAAGATTTAAAAATTCCAACGTATCTACATATGGTTGGGGATGCAAACATTGATTTTCACTGAAATATACAAACCCTTGAAAAGGAAATGAGAACCAAGATTCACAACCCAAAGACTGTGTTAGAAGGATGATTGCTTATGGAAAATCTGAGAAATTGGCAAAGGGAAAGAGTCCATTTGAAGAGACAGTGATGCTGTTAGTGTTCATGTAGAAAGACCCACTAGCTGGTACTAGCACATTCTTGCTATGAATATGAAATCAGTGACTTCCTCACTGAAAAAAAGACAAGCCAGAGAAAACAGCACATATTTGAAAAGTAGCTACTAAGGACATTTTCCCCCTAGACATTACAGAACACACAGGTGAGGCTTTGAGATAATGTATAACAAAAATTGGGCTCTGTTGTCTAATATGAAATGTTATATTGACTGAGGTGCTACTGGCTGAGGATCAGGTGAACCCAATTAACCCAATTTTTTAACTTGCCCATACTAAGTGATTTATTTTAGATGTGTAGCTACTCCAAAAGTCCTTTAGGGTACAATATGGAAAAACCATAAATAGGCCATAAAGGTCATGACATTAATTTTGTTGTCATTCTCATGCTTTAAGCATGCATCAAAAAGAAAAAGAAGACTGTCCTTTGGGAACGAAGGCAAATCTGAAACTAATTATGATAGTTATTATCATAATAGTATTAAATTAAACACTATTTCCCTAGCTAAATTTATTTGGGTATATTTTGCTAATGAATGTAACTTCTCAAATAGGATTACTATAGTCTTGCATAGAACAAAATGGTTTACCTGGACTCATTTCAAAGCTTTATTCAAGAGGTAAAAACTTCAAATTCACTGGGTATAACACTGAATCAAGAGTCTTTATCTGCCATGCTTAATAGCCTACTTACAGACAGTTTTCTCTTATTTTCTGTTGTCATATGCTTCTTCTCTGATGTCAAATGAAGATTTGCTTGTAACCATTACTATTTATTTCAACCTGAAAGAAAATAGGGAGAAAAATATCTCAGTATCTCAGTAGCTTCTTTCTGTGCTTAAAGTTTTTTTTTGTTTTGTTTTTTTGGTTGGTCATGGGGCTTGAACTCTGCGCTTGGCCGCTGTCCCTGGGCTCTTCAGCTCAAGGTGTGCGCTCTACCGCTTAAGCCACAGCGCCACTTCCAGTTTTCTATTGGTTTATTGGAGATAAGAGTCTCATGGACTTACTTGCCGGGGCTGACTTTGAACAGTGATCCTCAGATCTCAGCCTCCTGAGTAGCTAGTATTACAGGCATGTGCCACCGGTGGCTCTGTGCTTAAAGGTTTTAAGAACCAAACTACTTTGTGCATTTAGAGAACTTACATCTAAGGTGAATGATAGTCCAGGTTCCACCCACCTTCCCAGCACTTGGTTTGAGCACCAAGCAAGACAGGAAGCCATCTGACCTATTCTGTGGGAGTATTTGCTGCTTGAAATTTCAATGTTACCTACAACTTAAATGTGTTCTATGGCCCCCTGGGACTTGTGTAACTTCTCTTGGAGCATCCAGTGACACTTCTCAGTAGATGAATGGATCAAGAAAATGTGATACATACACACACACACACATACACACACACACACACACACACACACACACACACACAAATATACACATGAATTCCATGCCTCCATCAGAAAGAATGACACTTCCCATTTGTTAGGAAATGGGAAACTTGGAAAAAAATCATATTAAGTGAAGTACGTCAGACCCAAAGAAACATAGGTCCCATGGTTTCTCGTATTTGCAATAATTAGTATACATCTAGGGTAATCTTATCAGATGAGCAGAAAAGGTCAAAAGCTATGTACATATGAGATGATGTACTATATAAGATGATGCTAAGCTAAATGAACCCCAAGATATGGACACAAGAGGTTTTTCTTTGTTGTTGTTATTTTTAATGTACTATGCGATTTTTTTTGTTTCTTTTGTATGTTCTTCTCCATATGGTATATCTCCTGTTGTCACTGTATTTGATTTTGGTACCCTGTATCTTGGATATACATTTATCTAATTTGGGGAGGGGAAGGGGAATAACAAAATGCTGAAACAGACACAGGATGACCCATTGCAACAATGATACTCACAAGACACTATGCTGGAAATGAACTTTACAACTTTGGGGGGTGAGAGGAGGAGTGGGGAAGGCGGGGAAGGGAAGGGATAGTAGGAAAAAACAAAGAAGGGGGTAACAATGTTCAACAAGAAATATACTCATTACCTTACTAATGTAACTGTAACCCCTCTGTATAGCATCTTTATAATAAAATAAAATTTAAAAAAATAAAATGCAGCTGGGCATCGGTGGCTCATGCCTGTATTCCTAGCTACTCAGGAGGCTGAGATCTGAGGATCTCGGTTAAAAGCCAGCCTGGGCAGGAAAGTCCGTAAGACTCTAATCTCCAATAAATCACCAGAAAAGTGGAAGTGGGTGCTGTGGCTCAAGTGGTAGAGCACTAGCCTTGAGCTGAAATGCTGAGGGACAGCACTCAGGCCCAGAGGTCAAGCCCCACAACTGACAAAAAATAAAATAAAATAAAATGTAGATCATCCACTATGTTTTACATCCACTAAGAATCACATGGAATAAAATCTAAAATTGAAACACCACCAACAAGAATTCCCTTTTCATGCTAGTATATAATCTCTAACACCAATATTAGAAAATCAGTTGGCTATGGCAACACATTCACTGAGCATTTGATATCTCTATCAATGACTGGGTAGGAGGATTAATTTCAGACTAAGTAATTAAAAGCATATAAAAATAAAATGATAATTTCAAAAGATAAAATGTATGCTAAGGATGATAGCTTCTGAGAAGGGAAGAACTGGGAGGCACAGTTCAGGTAGAAAGTAGTTTTCTACTATGTACTCTTCCCTTCCCTTCTCTCTCCCCCCCAAAAAGTAGTTTACTATATCAGGATACAGTAGCCAGAAATAGAGAAGAAACATTCCCTGTTCCTCATACAAGGAATGGAAATAAAGATGCCCCCATATACATTCTTCTGTAAAACTTACAACTTAACATTATCAATAAGAAAAATAAGAATTAAGTAGAACTCTATAATAATGGTAATAATAATAAATAATAAACACGGGTAGGGAAAGATGCCTATACAACAACCTTAAGTAAAGGAAATACACAATAATGGGTGTGTTTAATCCAATTTGTATACGAAATTAAAAAAAGATGTATTTCCATAAAGAAGCATGAAGTTATCAACAATGGTTACTTTAGGGTTATGGCTAGCTTTCTGGGTACAATATACACATATACATGCATATGGGTATGGATATATGCTATATATGTATATATACTTAACTAAGATATAATTGTATAACATGTGTAATCATGTACTGTATAATGAAATTTTGGCCAACGGTAGAGTATGTATATAAGAGTGGTTGGTTCTGTGTGATTAACTTTCATATTACTGACAGAAATAACTAAAAGAACTTCTATTTTGTTCAATATTTTTAGCAATGTCACTTCATCATGGTAGGGAGTGCATGGTAGAGCAAGGAAGTTCACATCATGGTAGCCAGAAGGCAAAAAAAAAAAAAAAAGGGAATACAGAATCAGGCCAGGGAAAAGGATAAATTTCTAAAGGTAAGTCCTAAGTGACTTACTTCCTCCAGCTAAGCCCCACCTTCCACCAAATCCCAACAACTCCATCAAGGGATTAATCTATTCATTCTGTCAGATATTTCAGCATCTGTGGCTGGATATGCCTTTCAGATATACCCTGAAGTGTTTACTGATATCCTAGGTATTTTCTCAATCCTAGTGTTTCTCAAACTGACAAAATCATCACAAGTCTATACTTCATCAATTTGACTCCCAAATACATCTCTTTTTACCATAACATTCCAACCTTGCCCCCACAAAGTCTCACGGGGATTTAACAATGCAAAATGTATTTAGTCCATTTCCAAGAGTCTTTAAAGTTTTAATAGTTCTTAAATGTTCACATTTAAAGCCTCCTTTGAGACTCTAGACTAATTCTTAGCTGTGAGACCCTGCAAAACTCAAAACTAAGTTATATACTTGACAGAAGTAACTTCAGAGAAAAGCGGTTTATTTTGGATTATGATTTTAGAGAGATGTCAGATGTCAGTTTATTATAGAAGAGGGCATGGTATAAGCAGGGAAGTTCACATGGTAGACAGGAAGAAGGAAAAGGAAATATAGAAAGGGGACAGAATAAGATATATCTCCAAGGACACACACAAATAACTTACTTTCTCCAGCTAAGCTTCACTGACTAGCTTTCCTCCACCTCCCCAAATTGTCATCATATGAATCCATCAAGAAATGGATCTATTCATTATGTAAGATCCCTCAAAATCGAATTGTATCAGCAAATGGCCTAACACATCCAGAGATGAGTTTTACTAATCTCCCAAGAGTTTCTCAATCTAATCAAGTTGACAATTAAGATTAATAATCGTGAGTCTGGGGAAAGCATCTTCTCCTGTAATCCAACTCTTTGGGAAGTAGAGATTGGGAGGATCAAGGTTGGTGGATAGCCTGGGTAAAAAATGACAAAACCCTACATGAAAAATAACTGAAAAAGAAAAATGGTTGGAGGCATGGCTCAATAGATAAGAGTGCCTGCCTAGCAAGCTTGAAACCTTGTGTTGCCCTGTTACCTGCTCCCACCAAATTAGCCACTACAGTTCCATGATTATAACAGATATTAAAAAATTCCTAATGACATCATAGCTGTTATATGAGGCAGACAGACAGAACTACCATAGCCACCAGCAGGCTCAGGATATGAACATAAAACTTGCCCAAGACCTCAAAATGATCTCTCCTAGAGTGCCATAAAGATGCTGGTAACATATTTGGGAGTCATACAAGCTAGTGCCATGTTGTGATAGCCAGGGATCCATGCATGGATAGAGCCCTTCCCAAGTGAGCATATATATGAACAAGAACAATGACCCTGTAGTATGACCACTTGGCCCCTCAGTACCCAGAACTTGGGTTTGAGAATGTTCAATCTGTATTGGGAGTCTACACACAAGTGGTCACACAAACTTAGGCATACATTTTTTTTTCCTTCAGTGGTAGTAGGATGTGAACTCAAAGTATTACACTTCCTAGGCAGGTGGCTTTACTACTTAAGCCGTATCTCCAGCCTTTTTTTTTTTTTTTTTAACTTAGTTTCAGTAGGATCTTTTTTTGGGGGGTCCAGCCGTGGGGCCTGAACTCTGGGCCTGAGTGCTGTCCCTCAGCTCTTCAGCTCAAGGCTAGCATTCTACCACTTGAGCCACAGCGCCACTTCCGGCTTTTTTCTTTTTGGTTATGTGCTGCTGAGGAATCGAACCCAGGGCCTCAGGCATGCAAGGCAAGCGCTCTACCACTGAGCCAACTTCCCAGCCCCTTTTAGTAGGATCTTGTTTTGACCAGTGCTAGCTTTGGACACTGATCCTCCTACCTCTATCTCCTGAGTAGCTGGGATCAGAGGCATGCACCACTATGTCTGGTCCTCTTTATCATTTTTTGCATTTTCCTCATTTCAATTTCACAACAAACATTACAGTCAACAAATAATTTAGAAAAATCAAATTCTCAAAGTCTATCCATTAGCAATTTAATAAAAGGATCTACTGTACCTAAATTGATTAAAAAATTAAATGTAAATTCTTAAAATTCATAAACACTTTTTTCTAACCTGAAAGTAATTTGAACTTACTAGCAAACTAAAATATTAGCACAAAAGTAAAAAAAAAAAGCAACAGTATTTTCTAACTTCAATTAGCTAATGTCCTGTTATTCTACAATCAATTTGTATAATTTAATTCTTCTTTCCTAACACTGGCTTCACCTATCTTTCCTGACAGACTCAAAACTACAAGGGTGGGGTCCACATCTATATTGTTCCTACTAGCCCAAATGCCTTGGAGAAGAAATTTTTAAAGTCTTTGACAAGTGGACTTGAATTTA